TTGCTACCGTTTGGAAGATCGTCGTCCATCCGGCGTCCAAGCGTGGTCGAGACACAGACTAGAAGGTCACTCAGATCGAATCAAACCTCCTTTTCAAGGTATTTCTCTGCTCGTCCTTTAGGAGTATTCCCAGGGTTATTCAAAATCATGTATGTATGTGTTTGGTATCCGATATCGATCCGTGGGAAGGACCGCCTCGTCGGCGTGTTCCAGCAAACCTATCTAAAACGAACTTACACATCTGAAAATGCTGAAACAAGGCCATAAAGCTCTTAGCTACTTCATCCATTTGCACTTGTCCCTCAGAACACATGAAGCCCACTGGATTACCTCTTTACAAGCCACAAAGCATTTGATTTTCTTCCAGTTCTTCTTCCTGGCCTGGTTCACTACCCAACAAAGACAAACAATATGAGCCTCCACCGAATTTCCAAGGAAATCCCTAGATGCATCCCACATTTGCACATCCCTTTTATGAAGATGCACTTTTCCACCCATCCCCAATCTGCCATTTTGAGACCAGTAACCCATAGCAATTTGCACAGTATCATCAGAATCCCTTCCCCAAACATTGAAAATCCCTTCCTCATCACAATCGTTTTGTAAAAATCATAACTCACTCGATTTAAATCAGATATACAAAATTCCAAAGCCCAGTGAAAGCTAACAGAATGAAATACATTTCATATGAAGGACACAACTTCAAATAATGGGTTCCTGATGGCCTTATCAGAGGCACAACAGAGAATGCAAAACACGATAAATCATGAAATCTCAATGATCCTTTATCAATGATTTTCCCCATGTTATTGTTCGAGTATACAATAAAGCAAACTTTTATGTGAGCTTTTAGTTTGTATTTATTCGATTTTCCATTTGACTGAAATAAATGTTTTCACATTGTTGCATTCTTTATGATTGCTTGTATGCTTTTTTTTTTTCAGAACGATAGAAGATGATATATAACTCGAACGAGAACAATTTCTAATACAACCTGGGAAGATCCCAATAATCAAAAAAATAAAATTGAGAGGCTCATCAACATGATGGCCTAGATCAACTACAAAGACTAGAAAACAACTATTGAAGCCCCAACCAATACCATAAGGCCTAGTAAGCACTCCTATTATCAAATAAAGAGAAAGAAAAGATCAAAAACTAGGCAAACTAATATAAGAAAATTCCTGCCATTCCCCTATAGCAGCTTTGATAGCAATGTGCACTAGTGGAAGAGATTTTTGGAAGATCCAGTTGTTCCTTATGTTCCACAACCACCATAACAAATAAGTGGTTACTTGGATCCTGTTGGTGGTTGTGGCATATTTTGGAATTGAGCAGACTTGGTACCACCAAGATTTAAAAGAGCCTGACAAGTGGTTTATACCATCCCAAGACACAGGAGCAAGCTTCCATAATGTTTTGGCTCTTTGGCAGTTCAACAACAAGTGCTCTACTATCTCTTGTTCTTCTCCACAACATCTACAACAAGGGTCTATATCTAGACCCTTCTTCTACAAGTTGATCAAGATAGGCAAGAAACCATTAAGGCATTTCCAAATGAATAACTTGATTTTGCGGGGAATCTTCAAAGTCCAACTTCTCAGAATAATGTTCTGCTTGCTCTTGGCAGAAGAAGTGCTTTCTGGCTGATCAAAAGAGAGAGCTTTCTGCTGAGCTAAGAAGTTATAAGTGCAAAAAACTGAAAATTTCCCTTTTCTGTCCAAGCCCCAATAAATTCTGTTTGCATCTCCTGGTTTCAGAGATTTGATTGCCAGTATAGCCTTGCTATCATCTTCATTAAAAACTTGTTGCACCAGCCATTGATTCCAATCAGAGCCATCATCCAGCATAAGGTCTTTCACAAAAATGAGGTGTCCTCAAGCTATTTTAATCAATTCAGGCTTTGCCTTGTTCAAAGAAGGAACCCAATTGCAGTCCTCAATTTTAGTCTGAATGCCACTTATGATCTCTATTCTCATCCATTTGGAAATGATTGGGAGAGTGTCAATCCAACTGTTACAAATCCATGAGGTATTGGGAGATTTTGCAGCCTGGAGAATAGATGTGTTGGGAAAGTATCTCTCTTTAAGGACTTGATTTACCAGTAATTGTGTCTGAGTTGAGATTCTACACAACTGTTTGCAAATTAATGCCTTGTTGAAGAGATGAATGTCTTGGAACCTCATGCCCCCATTCTGCTTAGGAATAGTCATCTTGGTCCAACTTTTCCAGTGAATGCCTGAGGTTTCTTCTTCATTTGTTTTCCACCAGAAGTGAGCACAAATCCTAGAAATTTCTTGCTAATTTTTTCTTAAAATCTAAAATTAATGAAAAAAAATTAGTTGAAAATTTAAATACCTTTTATAAAAATATATATACTATTATATATTTAGTATGACACTTTTTATTTGTGAAACTTACATGTGTTATATTATAATAATTTTTTTTAACTTACAACATATAACTACATTAAGTATAAATATATCAACTCAGAAATAATTTTATTTTTCTAATGAATTTTAATAAATATTATTATTATTTATTATTATAAATATAAATATAAATATAATTTATTTATTTCATATATACAATATGGATGTCAAATCGAAGATCATCAAAAAATGATTAATTTGATATATTATATATGTAAAACCGATACGAAATACAGAAGTTATCGACTTTTAAAATACATTTAAAATTCAATAGTTAATTGAAGGAAACAAATAAAAAGTCAGGGATATATTAGTCACTTAGTGCATCAGTATGTAAAATTACAAAGAAATAAAAGGTTATATTAGTGCAAGTGATATTAAAATACGTAAGTTAGCTAAATATTACTTGTGGAATGTCCAAACCTAAATTATTAATTATTAATATATCAATATAATTTCTAAACCTAATTACAAAGCATGATTTTTTACCAAGTAGGATTCTGAAGCACCAGAAGCAGCCACGTAGGCTAAGCACGTTCTGGAATAATATATAAGGAGGATATGTTAAATATAAATAAGTATGTTTAATTTTTTATTTAAAAAATTAAGTAACAAGTCCATCCGTGAATCGCACGGGATGCACACTAGATGTACGATGATGTGGGCTCAATAGTAAAACATTTGAGCAGCTTTTATTAAATATGCTAAACGTACAAAACAAAGGTGGGCCAAATAATGATAAACATTTCATTTGAAGGACAAAAATTGCATTAGGGAATAAAGATCAAATCTGCTTTACGCAACACAAGTTCTCAATTGATACATTAATTAGTTCAACTTCATAATCAAAGCATCATATAATTTGAAGTTACTAGTTTGGAGTAGCTGCTACACCATATGATTAAGTAGTTAATTTTATTATTAAACAAATATATACAGTAATTATTTCATAACTAGCTAGCCAGCTAGTTAAGTAGTAGGTTTTGGACATTTTTTAATATGAAAAGAATAATGAATTGAATTACCACGATCATGTTCGGAGTTTTCGTTGACTACAAAAAATTAGAAAACATCGCTTAAATAATTAGAATTTATGACTCAAAGTGTAAATAATCCATTACAGTTGTATCAATAATCTATTTCAATACGATTTATAGTCTGTCTACCTTGCAAAAAGAAAAGGTCATCCATTGTTAAATTTATTGCGGGTATATATAAATTATTTATATTAAATTTAAGAAAAAATATGCAATTTTAAATAGTATATATTCTTTTTAAATTTTTGGTAAGTACAGCAAATTAAATCTCGTCTACCTCGGGGTACTTTATGTAATATCCCTTTATTATTGAATTTCATTAAAAAAAAAAAAAAAGTTGAATGAGCTTCGTGAACAAGGTTCAGCTTGAAGATTGAAAGGTAATAATAATTCACCCGATAAAGAGAGTTTAACTAAATATTGGATTATCTATCCAATCCTACTTTGTCTTTGCCCCTAAGACTTTTTAATAAATTCCTGTTTTCATGCACAAGTTGTTTAACATGACATGCATTTAATTAATTAATTACCAAATACAAAATTAGATGCTATATTATTAGTACACAATTAGGATATGTTTGGTAAAACTAACTGATAAGCTAGCTGATAGCTGATAAGCTAGGTTATAGCTTATATGTAATTTTTGAGCTTATAGCTTATAGCTCATGACTTATAGCTGAAAAGCTAGCTTATATGATAAAAGTGTTTGGTAAATTAGCTGATAAGCTAACTGAAATATAAAAATTCAACTAGCTTATTTGAAAATCTACCTAAAGTAGCTTATGGAATAAGCTCGAGCTTTTTAAAAAAGTTCATCCTACCAAACGAGACTTATTTTAATATAAGGAACTTATAAGCTAACCAAATAAGCTACAAGCTAGCTTATTTGGCTTACCAAACATACCCTTAATCAATCTGTTTTACATCTAGTCTACATTAATTAACTGTACAATTAAGTTGTAATTTTTTTTAAAATAATAATACTGCTGTTTGAATTTTACTAGTGAGATTGTTGTTTTGTTTTGATATACAAAATTAAGGGAAATGCTACAGTTCCGTTACGGAATCATTCCGTCGATATTTGTAACCGTTGTATCATCATGTGACTGTCGTAGATAGTTGATCTTACGGTTACAAACACCAACGAAATGGTTCCGTAACGAAACCGTAGAATCTCCCCAAAATTAATCCATAAGATATCAAGTTAAGAAATTCAAAACATGAAGTGGAGTAGTAGTTGGCAGATTTTTGTCAACACACCTACTGGAGAAAACAGTATTTTCACCGGAAAAGCTTTACATAGGTAACATATCCTATGAGGGATGTTCAAATTCAAAATATATTAACAATATTTGACATTAGCAGTTACCCCTCCTAATAGTTAGTTTAAAACTTAAAATTGATCAAATCATGGCTGAAAACCTTTAAATAAACAGAGGCCCCAACAGACCAAAAACAAAGAAAAAGGAAAAAGAGACTCATCACAAAAGAGACAATTGATATAAAGCTTGACAAGAATTGGTAGTTTCATATGACGACGCTACCTCAGCAGGTTCGGTACATCCAACGGCCTAAAACCTCCGGCACGATCAATCAGAGCCATTTGATGGTGAATGAGGAGAGAGATGAGGAGATGACGAGGTCAACATTGGCTGCCTTTCGTGCCAAGGAAGAAGAAATCGAGAGGAGGAAAATCGAGGTCAAGGAGAAAGTAAAGGCGCAGTTGGGCCGTGTGGAGGTCGAGACTAAGCGCCTTGCAGAAATTCGTCAAGTAAGTTAGAAAAAATAAAAAATAAAAAATATGTAACTTATATAATCCAGAGGCATCGTGTTGCATGAGCATGACAAGAATATTGGTCTAACCTTTTATTTTCTATTTATTTATTTATTTTTTTCAAATGATTGTAATTCTACTCTAGTAGGAGCTTGAAGCTCTGCATGATCCAACGAGGAAAGAAATTGTGGTTATTCGTAAGAGGGTCGATTCGATTAATCGAGACTTGAAGCCCTTGGGACTCAACTGCCAGAAGAAGGTAAAAAGTATTTCACTCCAAATTTCAAGAAAGCCTTGTTCATTTTTTTTTTTTTTTTTTTTTTT